TGATATTTATCGACCAATAAAAGCGGACGAGTCTGAAAAACTGACCGATCATCTCGAGAAGTGAGTATCGCCTACATTGGAGACAATCGGACATACGTTGACGCTTGTAACAGTCACCGCCGTTCTATATCTATATAACTTTAATAAACAAAGCTTAATTATTATAGAAATTCAAGCGCAATTTATGTTATATTCAATATATGCAACATATTTTTGACATTTATTGCATTTTGCGGCAACATCATTTTTCATTACTTCTTAAAAGAATGTACAGAAATACGAAGAAAGTAAAGTAAAGTTATAAAACATTATGTGATTTGTAACTTAGCTGGGGATGGTGTGCGATGAACCTTGCATTGCATGGAAAGTTGAAAACTTATGTAGTTACGTTTTATTTATAAAACTACTATTGTTAACAACTTCTCGTTTTAAACAACGAGTGACGATATTAAAAATGTAAATTTCTTTGATTTTTTTTATCTTTTTTCAAACATTAATCAAAGATATTTTATATTTTATAATGTAATAGATATTAATATTTTTTATTATGGTAAATATTAACCAGAATAGCTTGCATAAAATTCTTGGTGGTACATGTTGTCCCACAACTACCGTGATTTCAGGGTAAATTTTAAGAGAAAATTTTCTCCGTGTATGCGGTGTATGTACAATTTCCTAATACACTAATAAAATGAACCATTTCGGCAAAATATTTTTTATTTCCAATTATTCTTTCATATCGAATAATAAAAATTTGAATATCTCGGAAACTAGATGTATCCGTGTATTCGCACTTGTGGCATTCGAATACATTTAGTAAGTCTTACATGCTTGTAAAATTCAGCAAAATCAAGTCTGCGTCGGATGCAGACGTTTAAGCAATCCTTTTCTCACGCACGATGAATCCCATGTTAGAAACATCACGAGATTAAAGGCTCGGCAAAATTTATAGTATTCTTTAAGTATGTAACATTATTCTTAAAGCGCATTATGATTTCAAAAACGTCTTTTAATTGACAAATTTGTCAATTCCCATTTCCCATTTCTGAAGGGATTGTTATCCGAGAGCTCGAGCGTGTAACGCTTTTTTTTCGTCCAGGTACTGGAATCGTGAGCTGGACAAACTGAAGAACCTGAAATACACTGTGGATAAAAACGGGCAGAAGGTGCCACTAAAGAAAAACGCTCGTCCGAGATTATACAAGGCGATTTTCAACGCTTTTTGGTTGCCATATTTTATAATCGGAATCGGCATACTTATCCAAGTATATTGTTATTTTTTAGAAAAACTATGATATTAATAACTGCAATATTTTATTTACTTTATTAGATAAATCGATATCGAAATATATCGAAAATATGGTAATTGCCCCTATTTAGAACTCTGCAAAACTCTATTGCAAATAAAAATTTTACAATACAAGTATGTTACATAATTTTTTTGTATAATTGAATTACAAAGTTAGTTTGTTATAAAATTGTTAATTTCAAAAGTTGTTAAACAATAATTATTTAAATAACAAAAATTTTTATTAAAAAACACCTTTAATCTTATGTATTAAATCCACTATTAAAATTCTTACTATTTGTAATGGTTTTGCGGAGATCCAGAATAAAATAACAATCGTTGTACTTTATTGTGCGATCGTACACCAACTTTTAAAAACAAAGCGCGCCTGATGTGTGATAGTGCTTGTGGTACAAAAAAATTTTATAATCTTATATTAAAATATAATGTTCAAGCTTAAATTTGAATCGTTAAGTCTTTCGTACATCGGATTCATCAGCTCCAAATTATCGAAAATGGTCAAAAACGCGTTTTTGAGGAGATTTAACTCCATTTTTCTCGTGAACCTGACATTGATAATCGGACGTTTTTGTCTTTATATTCGATTTTAGCGCACAAAAACCATAGAAAATTATTTTTCTTTTCCAGACTGCAAAATCACGTAAACTTGTGTAATTTTTAATTTAAGATCTCTGTTTTTCTCTGTCTCTGTCTCTGTTTCTCTTTCTCTCTTTCTCTCTCTCTCCTTTTTCTTCTTTTTCTTAGATAGAGTAAAATTCATAAGCCTGTGAATCGTTAAATTTCAACGTTCTTGCTTTCAGTGCAGCGTGGCGCGCGTCGCGATACCAATCTTTCAGGGTTGGATTATCGACTACTTCTCCAGAAACTCGATCGCAAAGTACAAAACAGAGCTGCACGAAGTGCTAATCTACATCGTTTCCATAATTATTTGCAATATCATCTCCTTTCTAATAATACACCACATGCGGCTGCTGTCGCAGCAGATCGGCATGAGGGTACGCGTCTCCTGTAGTTCCCTTCTCTATCGAAAGGTATATAATGTTGTAGATTAATTTGCGAGTCCATGTCCTGATCCTAGTTTATTTTAGGGAGAAAGAGCACTCTTTTCTAGCTGGAAAAGTGCATTATGTTTGCCATAATTAATTATAAAGTAATAATTATATGACATTTAACGAATCGTTAGATCAACGTAAAAAATTGATCAATGTTGGAAAATATTGTCGTATATATAAGTTAGTCTTCGTCTGATTGTGAGTAGGAGATCAATTTCGATGCTGAAAAAATTAATTTAAACCAATTATTTTTAATGCTTAAAAAAGTGCGCGGGTTATATTTATTTGATGATTTACATGTGACGTTTATTTGAAATTTAAAGAAAGTAGGACAGAAATCGATATCAGAAAAAATGTTGTTCACATGTATTATATGTATATCATGTAGTAGTAGACCCTATAATTTTTTCCAAAACTGTTGCAGTTATTACGATTGAACAGAGCATCCATAAATCAAATCAGTACTGGACAGATCACGAATATTCTCAGCAATGACGTCAGTCGCTATGATAATTTATCTACGTTTCTGAATTTCATATGGATCGTGCCTATTCAGGTAATTCTTCATCTCGTGAAAAATATTCGGGTGTGTATTCCGAGAATATTACAATATAATTAATATCAAAAACGCTTATCCTTTTCTTTAAACAAATAGATTAATATATTTAATCTCTTTTGCTTCCTCATAAAGAAAGCTTTATTTTGGTAAAAACATTTTTTTCCAGTTTTCTATGCCAACGTGTTCTGAATGTTTTAAAACATCGAAAAATTATCTTTACAAAATGTCGCTCGCGTGCGCGCGCGCGCGCGCGCGTGTGTGTGTGCATGTACGGATTTGATATCCGTGTTTACTGTACTTCCGCAAATTTTAAGATATTGAGCTGATTTTTTTTTAATCGATAAAGTATCATTAAAGGAAGGTTAGTATTGAATTTGGTGATAATCGATGAAGAGATTTTTTAAAATAAAATTTTGAATAAAGAAAAGCTAATTAGAGGGACTTGCCTCGGGTTCTAAAGTCCAATGGTACCTAGAAGAGAACGGAGTAAAATTTCTGTGAAAATTATATATATAAATGAAAAAAGTGTGTAAATTAGGAAATTGCACTTTGCTTCTTCACCATTTTTAAGTGTAGGTATTAGGAATTTGCACATTGGTTCATCAACATTTTACTGCCGCGTACATGAAGCTTCCTATATAAAGAAGCCGAACTAATAAATAGGTACTAAATAATTATGCATCAAATAAAATACAAGCTTTCTAAGAGAAGCTTTGTGAGCACAATAAAATGTTGATAAAGCAATGTTTAAATTTCTCATTTGCACACTAAAAAATGGTGAGAAAGCAATGTCCAAATTCTTAATTCTTTTAAATTATTAATAGGTATGTCTAATAGTTATAATCTAATTCATAGCATGTTATACATATCCATATCTATTTATATGCAATTTATAGTTTCACTAATTAACTGTAAAGATATAGAATATCTACTTTCTTTTATGTTCACATTGCTTTTCAAGAACATCTGTTAAGATTGACCGTTTCTGTTGTAGATCATGATCATAGGAACTATTATGTGGCGAAATATTGGCATTTCCGGTCTTGTCGGCATCGGAACGCTGATGATCATCGCTTTAGTGGTACAAGGGATCATCAGCTTGTTGAGCCGCAAAATTAGAGCTATGATCGCGCCACTGACCGACCGAAGAGTGCAGCTGATGAGCGAACTCGTAGCCGGGATACAGGTATCCTCGAATATTTGATAATTTAAGTTACTTTATTGTTGAACAACCAAAAACGAGTGAATACGCTAACGTTCAAGTGTCAAATTCGACTGCCAAATGAGATTGTCAATGCTAAGAAAACAATTTTGTGAAACAAACTTGCAAGATCATAATTTTCGTTTCAGGTGGTAAAGATGTACGTTTGGGAGAAACCGTTCAGCAAGATCGTATCGGTGACCAGAAAGCTGGAAATCAAAGGGAGCAAATTCTCGTCATACGTGTTCGCCGCATGTTTGGCCATAACAGCCTTCACCGATCGACTGGCCCTCTATTTTACCTTAATAACGTACGTCCTACTGGGGCATTACCTGACTGCCGACGTAACCTTCGAACTGTCGACGTACTTCAATATGCTTCAACTCACTGCAGCGTTGCAGTTTCCGCAAGCGTTGATACTGATGGGTGAATCGATGGTGTCTATAAACCGATTGGAGGTGCATGTTTTCTCATATTAATTTTGAATTCGCGGAAAAACCCTCAAATTTATTGTTCCACAATCTTTTCGTTAATTTATACAGAACTTTCTGTTCATGGACGAAGTAAACATGAAACGCTCAGAGAAGACGCCGCAGTTGCAGGATAAATCTCGGAAATTAAACGAAGCGACTAATGTAGAGAATCACACAGACAGGTACATCACAAAAAATGGGAGTATCGCGCTTTCGGAGCTTCAGGAATTTTCTGATCTTTCGGTCTACGTGAAGCTTCAGGGCGTTTCCGCCAATTGGGTCAGCGGCCAATTGCCGCCGACTTTGTGCAATATCGACTTGACCATCAAGCCGGGACAGTTATGCGCTGTGGTCGGTCCCGTGGGTTCCGGCAAATCATCTATATTACATATGCTGCTGAAGGAGTTGGATCCCGGCGCGGGTTCAGTGATCCTCACTCAGGACTCCTCGAAGGATATTTTTCAGGGCAATCTTTCCAATGGTTACTTCACGAGCAATCCGAATCTGCGCATCTCCTATGCCAGCCAGGAGCCCTGGCTCTTTTGTGGTACTGTAAGAGACAACATACTCTTTGGCCAGCCCTACGACAAGGCTAGATATACTCAAGTAATTGTCATATAATTCAATACAGTTACTGCAGATAATGTACAGTATTTATGTATCCCTGCTATTGCACGTTAATACTGATAACTTTTACGTAACTTCACACAATTCTCAAATTTTTCTTTACTTCAACCATTCTACGTAAATTGTCATTGATTTATTATTAATTAAAGGAGACATGTTTCAGCGAGTAGTATAAATTTTGCCGAAACTTTAATTTCTATAATTTTATCTAGATAAAAGAAGAATGTTCTAATTATGAATGTCTTAATTTTAAATTTTCTAGCATTTTCTAATGTTTCTCACTCTTCCTGATCGATTGGCAAACGTTTTAGGTGGCAAATGCGTGCGCCTTGACGAAGGATTTCCGACAGTTTCCACAGGGAGACATGACGATGGTCGGCGATAGAGGTGTATCCTTGTCCGGAGGCCAAAGAGCGCGTATCAATCTCGCGAGGGCGGTTTACAGGCAGGCGGATCTCTATCTGCTCGACGATCCCTTGAGCGCGGTGGACTCTCGTGTCGCCAGGCATCTATACGGGAAGTGCATCACCGAGTATCTCCACGACAAGACGAGAATACTCGTCACCCATCAGTTGCAATTTCTCAAACGCGCGGACCACATCGTCGTTTTGGATCGAGTAAGTCGCATAGAATATATTCTCTAATCGGTATTTTACATTTAATCGGTGTTTGCATTGTTACATTTAAAATTTCAACTACAAATCCGTTTCTATCCGGATCCGATTCTTTTACATCATTCTAATAAAGAATGCAGCGTTGACTCGTAATAGTAATAGTAAATATATAAACAATTTTTAAATTTTTTACTAATTTTATTGTTACTTTATAAAGAGACATATTATATTATTATTAATATATAACAATAAAAATAGAAATTTTTATCAAAGTTAACATTAAAAAGAACTGTGAGAATTCTTTTAACAAAAAATAGTAAGAAATTTTTAAATTTGTATATAAACTTGTAAAATTCGAACTTTTAACAGTTTATTTATAAATTGTAAATAATTAAAGAATTGTTTCCTAAGGGTTTTATGAAGATGCAAGGAAGCTATAAC